CATAAAGAGAAGTAAAACATGGTGTGGTGGTAGAGTGCAGAAAGGATCCTGTTTTTTGACCTACCAAGGTTCTTTGTGGAGGTGATATTTAAATGGCAACCTGATAATGTGTGAGAGCAAGTTGTGTTGTTACTGGAGGGATGAGCATTCAAAGCAAAGAGAACAACATGTACAAAGGCTCTGAGGTATAAGTGTGCTTGGGAGTGTCCACTTAACAGCAGGAAGTCACTGTGCCTAAGCAGAATGAGCAAGGGGAAGATGAGTAGAAGCAGAGTGTGCAGGGTCCTGAGCCTGTGATGGGGCATTTTTTTTTTGCCATGAATAGCTTTCCCTTTCATTTGTAACTTTGGGATGAGATTAGGATTAATTTTAGTTTGTTCCACAGGCTAGCCATTTACCCATCTGTTACTGAATAATTACTGTTTTCTATTGATTTTCACATGATATTTAATTACATTAATTATATATGTTTACTTATACATACATGGAAACATACAAACATGTTTATCAACTCCTTTCATGGATTTATCCTCCTGCACACATACCATACTGCTATAGTTACTGTATTTTTATACCAGGTATTGGCACACTAAAGCCTACAGACCAAATGTAGTCTACCACCCAGCTTATTTATAAAGTTTTATTGGAACGCAACCATGCTCATTTATGTATTATTTATGGGTGCTCTTGAGCTACAATGGCTGGCTGAGTAGTTGTAACAGATCAAAGAGGCCCAGGCAGCCTAAAATATTTACGACCTGGGCCCTTTACCAGAGGGTTTATCAACCTCTGCTTTATAATATCTATTGATATCAGATGGAGTAAGTTCTTCCTCACTCTTCTTTATCAACAGTTTCTTGGCTATCATACATGTTGTTTTTCCATAAACTTTAAAAAATCAGTCTACCAAGCTTGCCTGACTGCTTTCCCTATGTTTTTTGGGGGCTGAAGAACTGCAGGGCAGGTGGAATAGGTATTTGATTGCATTCAGTTTGTATAGTTTAATGAAGGGGGAGAAGTGATTGTTTTACAGTTAGAGTCTTTCTATTCCAGGAATGTAATGGCTCTATCTACATTTATGTCTTTCAGCAAACTTTTATTGTTTCTTCACTTGTATCTTACATACTGAAGTTTATTCCTTTTTGTTGTTATTATAAGTGAGATCTTCTCCCAGTTATATTTTATAAGGGACTATTAGAGTATAAAGGAAAGCTTTTGCTTTTTATATATTTAAATTTTTTTTGGCCCTCAGGGGCCAAATTAACAATTACTTTCATATTTAATTCTTTTGTTTGACAGTCATTGTCTGAACTTACCCATTCTGTGGAGAGGATAGTTTAGGAAAATGGACTTTGACCTCCTTAGTGGTGTTCATTTTTCTTTTATATTGTGCATAGTGAATTTGAATTAAAATGGAAAATAAACTATATAATTTTGTGGTCAGTCTGCATTTGTGGATAGTTTAAAAAATATCCTGAAGATCATTTAGGCAAGCTATTTGTCAAGCAGGCTATGCCTCTTTGCAAAGCCAGTCGTTGCTTTTAATGTAGGACTATAGAGCTGTGCTTGTCATTCAGGAGAATCAAGCCCAGACACCACCTTACTGTGGAAAGCCATTGGATCATGGAATACAGTTGACTTAACCTGGCATTTATCCTTTGGAATTGAAATATGAGCAGAAGGAGATTTTTATGAATCAGTTAGTGCTTTCCTTAAATATGTTCTCTGTAAAGCATTTGATCTTTACCCCTAACATCTATGCCTTAAGGATGTGAAATCTGTTTTAGATTTCAAGGTCTATTACTTGCCCTGAGCACTGAACAGATGAACCATAAATCCAATATGTGTTAACCTTTGTGAATTTATCTTTTAATGCTATTTTTGTCCTTTTCCCCTCTGAATTCATGTCTTCTTAACTTCTTATGTTGGTAAAACTAAAGAAAGATTATTAATTTTGGTTTCTTTTTTCTTTTTGTATGTACTTTTTGGGTGACGTGATGGTCGGTGGTGTCAGAGTAGGGTTTGGATATGGAAATGAATAATTGCTGGCTTATACCACGTGATTTCTGAAATGAACCGTTACACCTTCTTTGTGTGTGTGAAGTGAAACTTCACATGCAGAATCTGGTTGTAAACACTCCTGTACTTTTTCCAGTGTGTTGAGATTACTTGCAGCCATTATTATAAACATCACTTGGTGTATATAAATATAGAAATGCTGTCATAGGCTGTAGAGATGTTATCTGGCCACATGCCTCAATCATAAAGGGATTTCTGACTTTGGACCTGAGTTGGACCTAGGGAAAGTAGATACTATTTTAGATGACCATTTGGTGTGTAGAACACCATAAGCAAATATAGTGGTCATCAGTGGCTTTTATTTATTGTGTCCCAGACATTGTGATGGGTGCCTGACACAGATAGGTATTATGATAGGTGTCTGATATATTTTCATCCTTCCAGCAACACTATGAAGGATTATTTCATAGTCTTATTTTTCAGATAAGGAAATTGGGATTTAGGTTAAATAACTGTTAGACCTGAGATTTGAGCCATGAGTTAAAACTCCAAGGTGAGGTGATAAAACAAAATGGTATTTTGGGCAGGAACAGAGTGAGTGTGCGTGTGCACACGCACATATGTGTGCACATTGGACTCTGTTGGAATTAGAGAGGGCATTGGACAGAATGTGAAGGTTGAAAAGAAGGGTTTTGTGGGATGGAGTGGTGAAAGAAGTTGGGTAGGGCTCAGCTGAAATTCCAGATTGAGGACAACTTCTGTTTCTTTTCTACTTCTTTCATAGCCGTATAAAGGAGAGAGAAAGATTTAACAACTTGACTTCTTCCCTTAGATTCCCTTATGTGAATTTTGACACTGACTTAACAGTAGAACAGTGAAATGACAAAATGTAGCATGGGGGTTAGGAGGACTTCACTGCATGTATGACCTTTGGCGCGCCCCATTCTCTCTTCCTCCTATTGTGGCCTCAAACTTTGTGTGTTAGTTTTTGGTTTTGTGGGGGTCCCAAGTGTTTAATTAACATTCCAAGGTGATAATGGAATGTATTGTCTTCCTGTTTCTAAATTGAGAGAGTACAAGAAGGGGGTTATGGTGTGGTAGTAGATGGGAGGCTGCAGAAATTGGACTTTCTGGCTCATTTGGCTGTCAATTTTGGTTTTAGAGATTATCATTGGTGTTCATTAAATGTAAACATAAGTAATTAAGTGCATGTACACGCGCGTGTGCGCGCGCACGCACACACACACACACACTTGCACACCCCAAATGCTTTTCTGAACATTTGTACCAATTAAGATGAAAGATCTAGATTCTGTGCCACTAATGTCATAATTTTAAGCATGGCTAGATTATTGAGATGCCAAACAAAATGTGTCTCTATTTGAGGCCTGTTTAGAGCCTGAGGCCCTCCTCTGGCTGTCTCTCTGCCCAAAATTGGTTCTTTGAACCATTCTAGCTGGCTGTGACTGTGCCTGAGCAGTACGTGTGTATATGTATAAATAATGGCTTGCTGCTGTGTATATGTATAAATAATGGCTTGCTGCTCCTGTGTTAATGTCAGGGGCTTTGCTATCCTGGATCCCTTTGCCCCTTAGGCCTGCCCAGAACTGGATTCCTAGTAAGACTTAGAAAATGAACCGATAAACCTTTCTAACTAGTGGCAGGGAGGCAGCTTGCTTTCTTGATTTGAAGTGAAGTAGTACCAGAAGGTCCAGCCCCAGCAGACAACTTAAAATGTGGTAGTATCTCATCTTTGGATCTGTTCTTTGCATCTGATGCGCATTCCAAAAAACATTTCAGTGAAGGGTGGCTTCTTTTTGTTTTCTTTTTTGTTAGATTGTTGTTGGTTGGATAGTTATAGTATCTTTTCAAAGATTTTAACCTTTGATTTTAACCTTTATATTGGAAAGAAAAGGAACTTGGGTTGGGGGCTGCTTATTAGTGATATCAAAAAGTTCATGTAGGCTGGGGCTGTGGCTCAGTGGTAGAGCGCTTGCCTAACGTGTGAGGCACTGGGTTCAATTCTCAGCATCACACATAAATAAAATAAAGGTCCACCAACAACTAAAAACAAAGAAAACCTAAAAAAGAAGAAAGAAAGAAAAAAGAAAAGGAACTAATGTAAATCCTAATGTTTTATGAAAATACTTCCATTGATGCTTTTTCAAATAGGAAGTTATTGATAAACTTGTATTTTTACTGCCTAATATACATGACAGCATAGTTTACAAAAATGAGAAATTTGTAAGACTAACAGTTTATTAGTTTTATATTGTGCAGGATTCTAGGATGGAGCAACTTCATCAGTCTTTTGATTCTGTAGATAATTCTGAAATGATTGGGGATGAAGCATGGGTATATTTTTTGATCTAGGCCTGTTTCCTTAGGAGTATGATTTCTGCTTCTGTGGTACGCTTTAACATTGCAGTGCCTGCAACTATACCCATAGACCCATCATTGGGCTCTGGCCTGCAGGAGAATTCTTTGATTTATCTGTTTGTTTAATGGGAGAGATTTTGTTCTCTCTGTTGTATAATCAACCACAAAATAAATATATTGTAAGAAATACTGGCCTTGGAGTGCTTTTCTATCGTTGTTTTGCCAGGACTTACTCATTGTACCACAAATTCTGGGGACAGGGAGGAGAAAGTGAACACATTTCGAGATCTGTCTTCTATTTGCTAACATTTATATCTTTCTAGTAAGTTCAAGTTCCCTGCTGACAGGATTTTACAATTACTGTAGTATTTTCATTTTACCTTAGAATCCACATGAAAATTTCATGAACTTTAACATTTGGTTGGGAATTTAATATTATTGTCAAACTTTATTTCTAGGAGGCAGGTCAGTAATTGCATGTCATTTTGTATATATAAATATAAATTAATTGATATCAAAACATTTGTTTATTTTTACTTTTTTAAACAGTCTCTGTAGTGTGGAAATAGATGACAGTGAATTTTTTCTTTTTTCTTTTAAAGACTTTCAGCTGAACTCTCATCTCTCAACACTGGCAAATATTCATAAGATCTACCACACCCTTAATAAACTAGTAAGTCAGTCATTTAAAGATAAAACTATGGGCTGGGATTGTGGCTCAGTGGTAGAGCGCTCGCCTAGCACAGGCGGGACTGGGGTTCGATCCTCAGCACCACATAAAAAATAAAAGGCATTGTGTTGTTGTGTCCGTCTACACCTAAAAAAAATAATAAAATAAGTTTAAAAAAAAGATGAACTATTCATTTTGTGCAAGTGTATTTGCTGAAAATTTTTCAATTGTGGATAAGATAGCAATTGCGTATAAAACTTGCTGTATGCTATGTGATTTCTTGGTAATAATGAATGTATTTCTTGCAGAATTTAACAGAAGACGTTGGCCAAGACGATCACCAAACAGGTATCTGTAAATGCTAACATTACTTAATTTTTTTTCTTTATTCTTTTGAGACAGGGTCTCTCTTTAGTTGCCCAGGCTGTTCTTGCACTTGGATCCTCCCACCTTTAGTCTTCCAAGTACTGACTGCTTAATTTTAAATACCCTTACTAATACAAATTATGAAAGAGAAATACTAGCCATTAATGCTCTGTGTTATCGCAACACTCCATGAACAAGTACTTGGTTGAGGAGATCTTTCAGGGTGTAGTGAAGGCAGCCATATTTCAGCTCCTTCCTAGAGGAAATCTATTCTGGGGTGCTGGTTTATGGAAAAGCACTTTAATTCCTTTAAAGGGGCTAAAAATTCTCTAGTGGTCTTAAGATCTCATTTTTTGGTTAATTCAGCTGAAAATGTGATTTGATTTGAAAGGTAGGTGTGTGTGTGTGTGTGTGTGTGTGTGTGTGTGTGTGTTGTATAGGAAATGAGGACTTATGAATGAGAACACTGAAGCTAGATTATTCACAGTTACTCTCTAGCCCTGCGCTCTTCAAAGTGTAGCTAGCAGGATAGTCTCCTAAGGAGGGCTTATTTAAAACAGGTTGTCAGGCTCTACCCCCAGAGTTTCTGATTCTGTAGATTGGGGATGAGTGGGCCCCCAGAGTGTGCTTTGCTAACAATCTTTGAGATGATGTTGATCCTCCTGAATCTGGAGACCATATTTTGAGACCATTTCTTTAAATTGTTAAAGAGAAACTGGCATTTGGTTTATAGTCACTAAACTTCCAGTGAAAATTACTAAAATCTATTTTAAAATTAGAAAGTTACTGCACAGTATATGAATTCCTGCTTGTTCTAGTCTGTTTGGACTACTATAACAAAGTACTTTAGATGGGGTAATTTATGAACAACAGAAATTGATGACTCATGATCTGAATGTTGGGAAGTCTAAAATCAAGGCACCAGCAAATTCTGTATCTGATGAAAGCCCGTTCCTCAGTGTTAGCTCTTCTTGCTGCATCCTCACATTGTGGGAGGGAGAGGCAACTCCTTGGGCTTCTTTTATGAGGGAACTACTCCCAGTCATGAGGATAGAACCCTCCCAAAAGCCTTACTTCTTCATACCAACACATTGGAGATTAGATTCATGTCTCCCAATCCCACCCTATTTCCCCAGTGCACTATTTAATGTTGGTTCTTTCAGATATTTTTATGCATGCATATATACTGGTATATATGCTTGTTTTTTTCATTTAGCATTCATGATTTACTATGTATATTATTGGATTTTTTTTTCATTTAATTAATTTTATTTAATCTCGTGGTCATTGATTTAGGACTCCCACCCCCTTAGATTGGTTCAGAATCAATTGAAAATTATGCATAAGAAAGAGATTAAAAAGTAACAGTTTTGTTGGAAAACTTGCTGAGATGTGCAGCAAGACTAATCAAGCTTTTCAGTATTTCTCTTTAAGGCTTAGCCACAACTAGGTTAAGTATAGGCTGGCATATCTGCTGCCCTCTCATACCACCTACTGTGATGGTGGAAGGCTTCATATGTCTGCCAGCAAGCAGATCTGAAAGTTGCTTCAAGGGGCGGGGCTCTCTGCTCAGTTTCCTCTCTGTGGATCACTAATTAGACCAGATATTCCTGCTTTCAGGGAGGAATGAGACAAGGGGGCAGGAATATTCTAGGGCACTGTGTGTCTTTATAGTAGCACATTTATAAAGCATCTTCTCTCATTTTAAATGGCTACATAAATTTTCTAGTTCATAGATACATTATAATATGTTTTTTCTAGGCTCTTAATAAACACACATTTGTATATTTAACTTTTAGCTACTTTCAGTAATGCTGGAATAAAATTTTCAGGGCCAGTCTTAATAGCTAAGGGGAAAAAAACACTTGTTTCTCATTCTGAAATGATGTTTGTGGATCTATGAGGATTTATTTTTCATCTTATTCTTTAGTATTGTTTTATTTTTAAAACTATGTTTAAAATAGTTTTTATTTTTAAAACAATTTTGCATTTGTAAAGCCCTAAAGTTGTATTTCTTTAAGATATGGTAATATAGCTTCTTAAGTTCTGAATTCTACACATTATATTGTTAATTTGAAGGTTTGATTTAAATGAGTAATTATAGTAATTTCACATTCATATATTTAACCTGATATGTGACAATTTAATAACTGTAAGTCATATTTAAGGAAGAGGAAATTGGAAAAAGCATTTGGCCTCATGCCTCTCTTATGCCCTTGGGAATGGCAGCTGTGTCTGATGGTTGGTGTATTGCATACGGCGGGTACAGTATCTGATGACTTGTGAATGTCTGGCATTTTCCTTTCTGGTTATACGAAGCATCACTTGTGATTTTCATACCCAACAAAATGGACTTAAAAACTTAACAATGTAAAACTATGATGATTGGAATCTGAGAAGGTTTAGTTGCTCAGATGCTTCTTTGACTATCTTGTCCCATCACAAGAGTCTGAGCCACATCTATAAAAATTGCATGTGGAAGAGCCAAACCCAAGTCAGAAAAGGCTTCTTTAACACTTTTCTTTGGTGTTCTTAATCTTCCTCCCAAGGTAGAGAGAGAATTAGTAGTTAATCTTGGAGAAGTGACCCAAAATAGAATGAATGAATAAACAAAGGAAAAAAAAAAAGGGACAAAGAAATGTGTAAGGAAGTTGATTCTAGTTGTCAGAAGTCAATATTATTTAGAAAGAAAGGAAAAGGAAAACTTTTTAAATAGGATAAAAATTGTTCATTTAGAAATTAATAATTTTATACTCAAGCAGGTAAGTAGTGCAGTGATCTGTTAAAAAAATTGAAATAAAACACTAGCTACTGGAAAGATATCTTAAAATGCTATCTTTTTATCTACTTAAATTATTAAATCTTTATGGCATTGTTCAGTGAGTAGTGAGGCTAACTAGCTATGTAAAAATAACTGAAGTGGCAGAATGAGCCCTGTAAAACATCATTAAGTGAACCAAAACTGCGATACATCAAGCTCACTAAAATGACAAATTAGGTAGTGAGTTTTTAAAAAATTGCTTTTAGATATGCATGACAGTAGAGTGTATTACACATACATGGAGAGCAACCCATTCCAATTAGGATCCCATTTTTGTGGGTTTACATAATATGAAGTTATATTGTTCGTGTATTCATTTATGATCAAGGGAAAGTTAGATCTGATTCATTCTACTGTCTTCCCTATTTCCATCCCGCTCCCTTCCCTTTATTCCCCTTTGGCAGTGAGGTTTTTGTATTGGAATATGCATTTATTATATAAGTTTGGAAAAGTCAGAAACACTTTTTAATTTGGTAAATCATTTGTTTGGGGATGATTGGAAAATGGACACATGAGTTGATATGTCTTATAGGAAATCAATTCTGATAGGAACTCACTTTACTGAGGCCCATAAAGCAAGATCATATTTTATAAATATGTAAAATCAGTGAAGCACCTACTGAGGCATTATTTTTTAAGGAATAGCGTGTTTAAGTAAACTATAATCAAAAGAGCAAGCTGGATAGACATTAAAGGACCTTTGCTCTGATCCAGGTAACTCAGGTTGCCTTTATGGGGCAAATACTAGGATAGACCTGTTGAAGAGTGTTGGCAGTATTTCTAATTGTTTAATTTGGGAAATAGCCTATATATATTCATTGATTGATTTATTTAGGAAAAAAATGGTAACTTATAAGATACTTAATTTGTTCTTTTTAAATACTGAACCAAAAAGAATGAACCTGAACTCCAATCATAATCTTGGGTTGAAAACTATACACAATTTTTATTGCATCCCTAAGGATCATACAAACACCACGGCATTAAGAAAGAGCCTAGCAGTGAGAGGATTGTTTTCAGATCCACCGCCCATCCAGTATAGAAATGTTAGAAACACCTCTCAGATTTGTGAAGGTAAATACTCTAAAAGTTGTGCTGGGGACATTGCTCAGTGGTAGAGTGCTTGCATGAGGCCCTGAGTTAAGAATCCTAGCATAGGGTTGTCAGGGGAGGGTGTTGTAATTATTGTCGATGTGTTAAAACATCATCAGTCTTGATATTTGAAGCAAATAAATACTCCATAATATTCTTGTGTACATTATTTACTTTTGAATTTTTTTGTAGTTGAAAGATAAAGTTTAATTGAAGTAGATGAAGTGATACAAGTTGTTGGTTAAGTCTAAATGATACAAATAAAAACAAATTTTTGTAACATATCTACTTAGATTTAAGTGTTTCTATTATAAAAAGACTTAACCACTGAGTTACTTCAAGGAGCAAATACTCTGCTAATATTTGTGTTTAAAAAAAAAAAAATTCTGCCTGCCAGGAAACGTAAAGTCAAGTGTTTGTTTTGCTGACAAATGGTGAAAAAAATCAGAAATGATGGCATATTATCTACTCATTGGTATTTTAAGTCTTTGTACGTGTACTGATTTTTAAGCAGAATTTGATTTATGTGTGTCATCAGAACACACTCAACAAATATTTATTGAGAGAGATGTTTTTATTGTAACAAGATACTGCATTAGCTGCTTGCTCTGTATGTACAAGCGAGCTAGACAGGACCCACAAACCAAGATGTACCTTAGTATATTATTATGCATCAGCATAACTTTAAAATTTCTGGTTTTTGCTCTTGCATAGTTAGGATCTGCCAGTGAGGGTAGAGTGGGGAGAGGGATCTGATCTGGAAGAAATAGCCTTAATTGTGCTGTCTGTGTATTTGGTTGATTTAGTTCATGTTGGTAAACTATTATTTTAAGTAAACTTGTTTTCCATGGCATTAAAACATTGCTTCTTCTGTAGCCTGAAACTTTCCTGTCATCCTGGGTTCTAGGTGGTTATGCCTGGGAGGGATGAACTGTGTGTGGTCCTTGGGAACTTCCTTCCCAAGTCCTAGTTGGTTGCATCCCTGCTGTGAGGTGGCTGTGAGCAGGGCAGTAAGTCAGAGAGTGCCTGGGCTGTGGTGACTTCAGGGGGGGGCAAAGAGGCATGGGTTCTTTGTAAAAATGGCTCTACAACAACCACTCACTTACGCTGATGCTTAGAGTGGAAAGACAGAAAAGGAAGTCATGCTTCTTAGCTAGAAGATAATGTTTTGAATAAATAGAAGAGTATATTGCTGAACTTGGGATGGTTTGAGACTCTAATATGATTAAGTTTTACACAGACACAGTGATTTTTGAATCTTTTAACAGAAAGCATTCATCAATAAGAAAAAGTTGGAAAAGTGAATTAACTTACAATGTTTACCAAAAACGTACTACTCTTGAAAGGTAGGAGTAAGCGAAAGCCAGGTGATACCAGTGTTCATGAAGAAGCAGATGGTAGAAAAGCTAGTATGAAGTGTTTCTTGGAGAAGACATTATTTTGGAGTGTACACTTCCTGTGGACTGACGAGATGCGTGCCTTTTCTTCAGTGTTTTGCAAGTACTTGCAGGTAGAATAGGTTACCGCCAGGCTAGACACCCAGAACCAAATCATGCCTGCTCTTGGAAGAAGATGGCTTTCCTTCACATGTCCACATCCAGGGAGAAGCAAGCCTTCCAGTGTTGTGCCTGCTCTTTCATTTCTAGGCAGTGCTACTGGCTTCACAGCCAGGCAGTGTAGACTTTTTCTTCCTGTAAACTCTGTCATGAGGCATTAATAGACAAGGATAAATCTTTTTCTTAAATATTGGTGATCTGTGAAAACTTGGGTCACTACAGTTCTTTGGACCTTTGGTATTTTGGTGTTGTTTATAAACAGGACACTGTTTTCCAGGGAAGATGAATGGAGTATCGGTGTGGGGGTAGCACTCTATGTCTGGTTATTCTTTTTTTTCCCCAGTTTTTTCCCCTATTGGGGGGAGAGACATATTAGGGGTACTTTTTTTCTGAAAGGATAGGTCTTGTTGGGCCCCCTGGAAAGGTAGCTGGAGGTCATCTTGTTTTGACCTGCATGGAATCTGGGCTGAGAGTGCAAGCTGCTTGAGCTCAGGGGCTGGTAGAAACAGGCTCTGGGCTATAGCCCATTTGGGTGGTCATCTCGCCTCATAACAGAAAGGGTGTTTTCCCCTGGTATGTCCCTAAAGGCTATCACCAAAGAAACTTAGCACAGTGGTAGAAGCCTAAATGTGACCTGGGATTCAGGTTCAGCCCTGATCATTGCTCTTAGCAGCCTTATAACTTCAGCTACTGAGAGCCCTCTCCTTGTCTTCAGAGCAGGTGTCCTTAGAGAACTCTGCATACATACCCTGTCCACTTCCTCACCTCACATCCCTCCCCTACCACCTTCCATCTAGCCTGCTCTCTCCAGGTCCATCTCTGCTGTACTTCATTGTTAAATGCAGTGTGTGCCTTCACTCCTTACCTGATGGACCTCTGTGCAGTATTTGAACAGTTCCACCTTGAAACTCTTTCTTTGGGCTTCCAGGATATCATAGAGGAGAGGAGAGCTTGGGTTTTCTCCCTGCCAAGGTTGTCACCTTCTTTTCTTAGTCCCTTTAGTATCCATATTACCCATAGCTTTGCTCTTAATTCTCTGCTTCTCAGTCTCTACTTTCCTGCTACCCATCTTTTCATTAGTGGGACCAAAATAATAAGAAAGCTTATTTGAGGCTCAGGATTTCAGAAGTTCAGTCCATGGTCAGTCAGCTCCATTACTCTGGGCCTGAGATGAGACAGAACATCATGACAGAAGGGTGTGGCAGAGGAAACTGCTTAGCTCATGGCAGCCAGGAAGCAGAAGAGTGAGAGAAGAGCCAGGGACAAGATACAGTCCAACGTCACATCCTTCAAAGGACCTACTTCCTTCAACCACACCCACATGGTTACAATTACCACCCAGTAGTTCATTCACATTATTAATCTCAAATGTATTAATCCACTGATGAGGTTACACCTCTCATAATTTAATCATATCACCTCTGAACATTCCTGCATTGTCTAACATACGATTTTTTCAGGGAACTTTAAAGATCCAAACTATAACTGTCTTTGAAGGAGTGGTAGCAGATAGTGGCTGAGAGCTGGTTTGCTGTAGGGCTTCTTGGGTTCCCTTACACTTCTGCTGCAGGTACCTAAACACAGTGCTTGCTTTGGTACCTATGTATTTACTGAATGAATGTTTTTCCTTATGAATATCCTGAGAAATATCACTGTCCCATTCTTCAGATTACAATCAAGGGACCCAGAGTAAGTTAGCAATTGCTGCATCGTTAGCAAAGAGCTGGCAATGGTTCATTGAGTGCAGGTTGCCAAACTCCAGCAGCATTCACATGCTCTCTTGTTTTCATGGCTCCCTGAGAGTCCAGGTCCCTCAACCAAGAGCCAAAGAAAGGGGGAGGGATGTGGGGACCAGAATTCACCATTTTTTGCTTCACAAATCTTGAAAAGTCACTTGAATGCCTCAGCCTTGATTTTTTTTTTCCCATCTGTTAAGTAGATAATTATCTTTGCCCTGCCTGTCATTCAGGGTTATTGTGGGAACCAAATGACATATCTGATGGCACTTGTGCCAAAATGGGATATTTAATTATCTTATAATTGTCTTGTAATTTATAATGGTTTAGGATAATCTGAAACAAGACCGTTTGAGTTTGAATCCCAGTTTTCCACTTTAGCTTTCTCTGTTTTCTTCCCTGTGTGAGGCAACAGTGGTCCTTTCCTCAGCGGCTTGTTATGAACTTACCTGAGTTAGTATCTGCAAAAGTTAAGAGGAGGACAGACTCCCAGTAAGTGCTCACTGAGTGTTCTTTGCAATTCTTATTGTCTGTTATTAAATTTTAATACCTTTTTACCAAACGAAAGCTTTGCTTTCCTGACTGTAAACCCTGACTGAAAAATGGCAGAGTTTCCTTCAAGTGGCAGAAACAAGAAAAGTTATTGTGTTTTGTTCAGGGCCACATCAGATTCTGCATGACCCCTCCCGCCCCCCCGCCACAACACCCCAATCTCTCCCCTCGGCCAATCATTTCCCTTGTAGCTTGTGAGCATTAGGATTGATGTGCTTATATGTATTTTAGAGTCATGGTTCCTGATTGAACTGACCTTGCCTAATGAAATAGATAAATGCAATAGCAGTACATTTCTCTTGAAGGAACACTGACGTGTAAGAGAAGCCAAAAGTTTAGGTGATTTCCGTTAGTATTTCTGGAGAGTAAATTAAAATTGAGCTTGCTTCTATTTCTGGTATGATTTGGGTGGTGGGAAGTAATTACTTGTTTTGTGTCATTGCTAGGTTTTTTCCTTGACTAACATTTTTTCAAAGAGGATTTACAAACCATTTTCTCTATAGTATTTACTGATAACATCAAACCCTTCACAATACAAGCCATGGCTGTTTTTAAATTTAGCAGTCATAACAGTTTGTAGGAGTTCCTGTGCAGCATGTTTTAATTTGTATTCTGAATTTTCTTTATAGGAAGCCTGCGGTCTTGCAGTTCTTCAGACTGCTTTAGTAAAGTGATGCCCCCAAGGAAAAAGAGAAGACCTGCCTCTGGAGATGATTTATCTGCCAAGAAAAGTAGACATGATAGGTATGGTTTAGAGACTGTAGATTCATATTAATGACATGCATGTTGAAAATACTGATAGGGTCTTCTTAGTGTGTAGATGCCACCTGGAATATTGTTTTGATTCTGCCAGATGATCTTTCAAAGTGAAATTATTTAATGATGCTTATTTTTATGTATTTTTATGTCTGGTTTTATAAAACAGAAACAAAATAGATAATTTGAGTTTTTAGAGATAAAAGTTTTGTCTCAATTCGTGGATCCATTAAAACTGGAGTAGCAGTAGTTTCTTTCCTTTGAAAGCCTTACTGTTGGTGTCTCGTGAGGACCACAAAATTGTCTGTTCTTTCATAGTGTCTCACCCTCTGACTACAGCCACAGGGCTGGAGCAATGCGCCTGTACTGCGTGTTCTACACTTACCCAGAATGTTAGCCACATGGAGGTTTATTCTCAGATGGTTGAGGATTTGACAAAAACCATGAAAAACTAGACTGTTCAGACCACTTCCCTTTTACACAAGTGAACTGTTAATTTTGGTGACTCCAAAGGCCTGTTAAATGTTTATTTTAGGCCTGTTAAATGTTTAATCTTTATTGTCTCACCTTGATTTTAATAAGCAATTTTTTTTCCTGTGTTTTTCTTTTTGAGACGGGGTCTCACAGTGTTGCCCAGAGTGGTCTTGAATGCCTGAACTTAAGTGATCCTCCTGCCTTAGTCTGCCAAGTAGCTGGAGCTACCAGCACATGCCACCAAACCCTTATCTCTTTTTTTTTTAAACAATGTAAAACATCGTAGTCTAATCTTTTCTGTCTTTTCTCGTCTTTCCCCGTCTTTCCCCATTCTGGCTCTGTGGGTCACTTCATTCAGCCTAGAATTTTCACATCTTAAATTGAGGGGATTTAGATGAGATTTTTCTGTTTCTTCTTTGCTGTGATATATTTGCTACAACTCAGTTGGAGGAATACAGAGATGGACTCTGAAAATGTGAAAATAATGTCACTGTTCATATTTCAAATGAATAGAAAATATTATGTAATAAAGAAGACAATTTAGAAGATAATCAGTAGCAATGTGTGGGGTTTTTTTTTTTTTTTTTTTTGTTTGTTTTGTTTTTTTTTTTTGTGTGTGTGTGGCAGTACTGGGATTAAAACCAGGGGTACTCTACCACTGAGCTATGTCCCCAGACCTTTTAAATTTTTTTAAAATTTGAGGCAGGGTCTCACTAAGTTGCCCAGGCTGGCCCCCAACATGGGGGTCCTTCTGTCTTAGCATCTTGTTGCTGGGATCACTCATAATCTTTAGGACAGTGTTTTTTAGTTTTGTTAAACCAGGTTACTTTATGTCTTCTTGTCAGTATGAAATGTTATTATCAGGGAATTATTTAATTCTAATAACCACTTAGCATTTTGTGCCTTTGTAATCCTTGTTATTTTTTTCACCACAGTCTAATATAATTTAATATGATAAAATCAGATTAAAAACTGGCAGTTGCAATTTCTGAATTTTTAGTCTTTTTTTTAAGCCAATTTATTTATATACCTTAAAGTTCATACATTTGAAGTGTACAAAAGTGGTTTCTTCTTAGCTGAGTTGTGAACATCATTACTGTAGTCCAGCTTGGAACATTCCCATCAACCCAGAAACATCCCTGATGCCTAGTCACAGCCACTCCCGGTTCTACTCACTGCCCCAAGCAATGCCTTTGATCTACCTTCTATCCCTGCAGATACATGTGCTTTTATGGACATTTTGTGTAAATGATGTTTTGTATCTCACTTCTTTTCACTTATGTTTTTTAGGCACATCTGTGTAATAATAGCAGTTATCCATATTTTATTCATTTGCTGAATGATATTCCACTGTATGATCTTGGTCCATTTTTTATGTAGAACATTTTTAAGTAATTCAGAATCAAATATTATAGTGTCATACAAAGGACTTCAGGTTTTGACTGCTGATAGGCTTTGAGCTATGACAGGAATGTCTGAGCCCGGGATTAAAGAAGATCTGTCTAAACCCTTGACCAGTACCTTTTATAATATTACCTTTATTTCCAGGTAGTATTCCCATGTTTTATAGGAAAAGTTATAAATTGTGGTTTGCAGGTTTTTTTGTTTGTTTGATTTTTGGTACTAGGGATTGAACTTAGTCGTATTTTACCACTGAGCTACATACCTAGCCCTTTTGCTGAGTTGCTGAGATTGGCCTTGAATTTATGATCCTCCTGCCTCAGCCTTCTGAATCCTTGGGATTACGGGTGTACAGTACTGCATGTGGCTATGGTTTACAGTTTCGATTACTAAATATCCTTATAGCTGTTTTTTTTTTTTTTTTTTTTTTTTTTTAATAAAAACCAGGAATTTCTATTCAGAGGTCTATACAGATAATCTGATTGTGTAGGTCTGGAGTAAATGTACACTAAAAAGAGAATTTCATCTTGTATATTCTTATATAAATAAAAGTTATTTATAAGTGTTTTTAACCATAACTCTCTAGGTAATTTATATACAAATAATAGATTCAAATGTCTATACTTACACTTTTCATATGCAAGTCATGATTTTAAAACCACTGCCTACTTACTCTCCCCCCTCCAGTGAGGAAGCTCTAGGACCTCCATCCCTGGTTAGGAGATAAGGAATTGTTGCCACATAGCAGGAGCATTGGCTGTGCTTCCTGATTCAGTTCTCCAGCTTAGGCTATGTGGCCACAGTGTGGAATGTGGGAGCTATGCTTCTCTCTTCTGAGGCTTTAAGACTTACACTAATCAAGGACTCATCCAAGACACTTTTTCTTGTCAACCTTATGATTGAATTTTTTTTCCCCCTTGGAAGCTTGAACATAAATTAATGTTTCTTTGTACTTGTTCAGTGTGCTCTTGAGTTGTCTCCTATTGACAGGTCTTTCTTATATCATATATAGAGCATGCTCAGCCTGACTTGTAAGACAGAAGTCAGAACTTAATGGAGAGACACAAGTGATTTTTAGGATCATTAACTGAAGAAAACACCTTAGACATTTGTTGCTGTGTCTTATTCTTTTTTTTTTTTTTTTTTTGAGAAAGAATTTTTTTAATATTTATTTTTTAGTTTTCGGCAGACACAACATCTTTATTTGTATGTGGTGCTGAGGATCGAACCCGGGCCGCACGCTTGCCAGGCGAGCGCGCTACCGCTTGAGCCACATCCCCAGCCCCTTATTATCATTCTTTAGTAAGCTCTAGCTCATGAGAAGAGAGTATATCAAATAAATGTTGTACTTCTTACTGATTACTTGTTCCTCAGCAAAAAAATCTCATTTTATGTTAAGGTGTATGACCATATTTCAACACCATAGTTAGAAAAGCTGCTGTTTGCAAATCCAGGGAGTAATCTGTTTAAAATACTTAAAATACTGATTGAGTGAATGTCTTGTTTATATAAAAGTAAAAATTATCTGCTACTTAAAAGAACTCAGTATCTTTAAATAACTTACAACTACCTTTTCAATTTCTAGCATGTATAGAAAATATGATTCAACTAGAATAAAGACTGAAGAGGAAGCCTTCTCAAATAAGAGGTGCTTAGAGTGGTTCTATGAATACGCAGGTGGGTAATCATTTATATCATGGAAGACTGCCCTTAGGAAAATAAAGAAGTGCCTTAGAGGAGGTTAAAGAATTTAACAAGTTTTAAATTCAGTGCTTGTGTGTTGTGTATTGTGTTTGTGTCCCTGTTGAAGAGAGGGAGAACGGAAGGGAGGGACGTAGTTGAAACAAATCACTAAATGTCCTATTTATAGTCAGCAGCTAAGCCAAAGAATTCAGAACATTAGAAGGGAACTGAAAAGATGAAATGCACTTGGGAGAAATACTTTGGATTGCTAGGAGACCTATTTAGAATGCTGATAATGGGTAATTATTTGATTTAAGCACTGAAGTTAAAATAAGCTTTGCCATGTTGATCCCTTTTGTAGTACAATGGAATTTATATTAAAATGTCTCTATTTTGAAAGATGATTTGGCATAAAATGTTTGTTTTTTCATTTAAAATGTCTTAAATTTAGTTTTGCAACTTACTATAATTGGTTGGATATTTTAATATTGCAATCTAGGACTTGTATTGTGTGAATGGTGTAAAAAAGAGAAAAGGAAACATTTTCAGATGAAGTTGAATTGTAAGCTCTTTAACCTTTTTTCTTCCTCATGTTTTTCATTCCCTTTTCATAACAGTTCCAGCAACCTTCAAACCAATTTTCCTGTTATCAGTCTCTGTTCTAGACCAGGTCTTTTGTCTTACTTAAAAATAAATAAACAGAACAGAACATTCATGTCATTCTCTAACAATATCTGCCCTGAAACCCTCCTGCCCTCTGTTTAGAAATTCCTGCTACCTACAGGATAAAAGACAATTCTGTCCTCTTGCTGGAAGATTTCTCTCCACTTTTCTCTCCAACAGTAGTAGTTCTGTTTAGTTCTGAAAAACCTGCATTGAGTTCTTATTTAATTCTTAGTATTATATATCTTTTAAGCCCCTTAATTATATTATATTAATAACCCTCTTTGTCCAAAAATTAGGACTTTGTTCATAACTTATTTTGATCCCTTTTTATTGAGTATAAAAATGAAGATTTTTCTCCTTGATCTTATCTGGCAATTTTTTCCTACCCTCACTATCCTTTTTCTGATGAGCCTTTCCCCTTTGGTTACAGGGGTTGGTCCAGAGGGACCATATTTTCTGGGGGGGGGGGGGGGGGGTTTTAGTTTTAAGCTGGGGAACAAATGTCGTCCCCCCCCCCCCCCCCCCTGTTGATGAACTTGAAAAGCTACATCCCTGATTCCTCTGATTTTATTTGGATTTTGGGAAGTTCTTCCCAGTATCTTTCTAGTAAATTCTCCTCATTGATTAGATTCAACTGGATTTTGTTTGTTAGGGCATGAACACTGTACATACACTTACATGGTAATAGAATTTATCTTTTCTTGTGTACTTCCTTAGGTCATGAGTCTCTTGAAGACATTTTGTAATCCTAGTAAAAAGTACTTGACACTTTGCCAAGGGTTCAGGAAATGGGTCCTGAATAAGTGGAGCATTTTTCCACTGGAGAAAAATTATGAAGATCTTTTGCTTTCCAATATTGATTCACATTTATTTGTATGAAAATATAATATAAAAAGGAAATTTTTAATAGAATCCCACCATAGTAGCACAGGTATTTTGACTTTTTGTGTCTTCCTTTATAGGCAAGTATAAACTGTTTTCTTTAAAAAGGGAATGGAGTGGAATTTTCCTTTTGCTTTTTTCTGACTGAAGAAAGGTGACATTTTGAAAGTAAAAATTAAGCCACGTTTTTTAGTTTCCTTGGGATTCTTGCTGAGTGATTCCTTGTAATTCATCTCAGCAAAATGTTTCTATGGATATGGCTGTTCCTGAGTTTTATACCTACCCTTGTTTTTTTCCTTTTATCTTATCACTAGGGAAATTTGCTTCAAATTGGGAATCACTGAAAGCTCCAGTTACTTACTTTTACTTTGAATATCTCAAGCACATGGGTTGAAAGTGTGGGTCAGTATTATTTAAGAGTAATGAACTGTGAGAAAAACCAGGATAACTGACAGAATGTGCTGTAGCTGTAGCTGTGATCTGCTGGCTGTTTGGTTACCTGAGGAAGGCCTGGGTGCCCTGGCTGTGGTACTGTCTCTAGGAGAGAGCCAGCTGGTTTGAGCTGAGGATAAAGGCTGACTTCGTTATGCTTTTAATGGGGGGCAGGGATGTGGAGCCTGGGGTCCATCACTCAGTTCTTTCCAGAGTTCTCAGTTCTATTTGTCATCCTGCCTCCTGATTTCCTTGGCTCTTGCAGCCTGCGCCCAGCCTGTCTCAGCTTCAAGTTAGCTGGTTCACCCCAGCACTGCTTTGCATATTCTGGAATGTAGCTTCTCACCTTTCAGAATCCCTATCAATTCAATTGTGGATTCTCAGAAGATTGATAAATAAAGCCCTCCTACCCCTTTGTGGGGCCTCTACCTGCTCTCTGTGATTGTATGTTTTACTCCCTTTTCTATCTTGGTACTTCACTTCTCTGTAATTTGAGATAGGATTGTCTGGGAGGTCAGGAACTGTGTTGTTTAGACCTCCATCTGAAAAAGGAAACCCAGTTTTACATAAATTATTTATCAAGTAATTTCCACTTTCTGAAATACGTCTTAAGAAAAAGAAGTTAAGCCAAATACACAAGTGCCAACATTGATTTTTAAAGTTACACTAACACCCACATACATAGGTCATATTAGTTCTGCAAGCCCTGACTGTAGTCCCTCCATCCATTTTAGATTAAGTTCTATAGCAGAATTCTCTTTTGGTTTACAAAAATGAGATCAGAGACTAGGAACAGGTGCTAAAGTTAGGCATTGACAGTTGCAAAAAGTGCCAAAATGGTCTGACAGTGAAGGAAGAGATGTATATATCACATATATAATTATAGTATAATTAATAAATATAAACATATTATAAATGGTACAATAAACATCATTTTGAATATATTTTTTTAAAAAACTACCAAAGAAGACCCTTTTGCCTCAGTGACGCAGCCTTGTGTAATAATGGGAACTTCAGCATAAAGGTCTTGTTGGGCTATCATGAGAAAGTTACGTTAATACCTACTTACAGTGGCAGGAAAGTGGGAGTGTTATTGATTTTTTTCTAGATTTTTGTTAGTATGTCTGCCTTTCCAAATGTATCTCTACTGTCTTGTCACTCGAGGCATTCCATAGCTCCTTGCTTTAAATATACTTTTTTTTTTGTCTCTCATACTCCATTTTTTGACCACTTTATGTTATCTTGTAGCATTCATTAGCTTGATAAAATTATCATCTTAATTCTACAGGTGAATTGATATATTGCTATAAATTTGCTATAAAATAGAATTAAGATCCCAATGACCAGTATCATCACAACTAGATTTAAATGCATGGAAAAGATAAATAAAAAAATAAAGAGAGAGAAGTGATAGGTGGCAAGATTATGGGTAGATTTTAAATAATGTTTATTGATATTTAAAATAATGTTTGTTTTAATATATTTAGGATAAAATATACTTTTGGGAGTATAAACTCAGTTCTTCGTAATATGGTCAAAGCAGATATTTTTTTCTCCATGCCACTATGTTCCTTTTTATCACACATTTGTTATTTTGATACCAAAAAAAAAAAAAAAAAGTTTTGTTGTACATATTCAGTTCTGTTACCTTCTTCTGGGATTTTTGTTTTTTTCCACTTTATTTACTTTTTTGATACTGGGATGTGCACCCAGGTGCACTTAACCACTGAACTTTTTTTATATTTTGTTTAGAGACAGGGTCTCACCAAGTTGCTTAGGGCTTCGCACAGTTGCTGAGGCTGGTTTTGAATTTGCCATCCTCCTGCCTTAGCCTCCTAAGCTGCTGGGATTACAGGTGTGTGCCACTGTGCCCAGCTTCCTCTTTATTTTTTATATATTTTTTTCTATATATTCTTAGTTTTCTTACCTCAACCATTAGGGAAGAATCAATTAAAAGTTTGTTTAATTTAATTTAGGATTTTTTTAGTATATTAATACATGAACATAATGCACAATTTCATTTTAAAGTAAGCAAAAATTTCTGAAAAGAAGGTGACACAAGACTTTCCGGCAAGTGCTCAAGGTGATTTTTATGTTTATCCTTCATTGAGAACATTGCCTTAACATTTTATTGCAGTCCACTTACTACTCTGTATTGAAAGTAATTCCATGCTTTAAGCTCCCTTCATGGAGGGCAGGAGCCATGTTTTTCCCTCTTTGTCCTCTAGGCAATTACCACAGTGCACATTCCAGGATTTGTCTAGTTAAAGTTAACTAAATAAAACAGTAAGATGGTACATTCTCTTGGACTTGACAACTTGCTAGATCTAGAGGCTAAGGAAGGATTGTAGAGTGTGATCTTGGTTTTGGTTTCATCATTCAGTAAACTTTTATTGAGCAATGCCAGATGTTGAGGTTGTGGAAGGAGTAAAACAGCAGTTGCTCTTGAGGAATTCTGAGATAAATACTGAGGGCTGGCACTTTTTGAATGCAGGATGCTAAACACGAGAGACCATTCACATCGTTGTATGGGATCACAGAGGACTGCCTGTTTGGGTCCAGTCTTAAAGGTTGAATGAGGTAACCAGGGAAGATGAGGAGAGGTGAGGAAGAGGATAAGAGGGAGACAGGCCAGGGTACAGAGTACAGTATGGTGAACTGCAGGTCAGTGGGTGTTTCTGGACCTTAATTTTTATTCATTCAGCAATAGCTATTTGGCTAGAAAACTTGCTTTTCAGGTAGGAAAAAAGGAGGCTGAAGAGGAAGGTTTTCTAGATCATAGAGAACCTTACTTGATGTGCCAAAGACTTGGACTTTATCTTTAGGCAATGGGAAGCCACTGATGCATGGGATTTTGTTTGGGAAAGAAGATCTCCTGTTTATAGAATGGATCAGGGATTTTAAGAGAAAGAATAAGCCCCCACCAGGGAGGTACAGGAGAGATACCATTAAGAATATTGAGCAGTTAAATTGAAAGTTCAACTAGTAATCAATTGGTTATGGACAGTGTGGGAGAAGAGGAATATAGGATAACTCCCAGGTTCTCAATTCTGTTGGTGCCACCAGTTGGGACAGACTACATCAGGATAAGCAGGCTTGGCTATATTTTATATGGATAGGTGATGGGCTCCATTGTGTGAGGTGGTGTTTGAAAGTGAAATGCAGTAGGAGTGGGATTGGGGCAGAAGAGAGGTCTAGTTATGGCAGTTAAACAGGAGGTGGGGGTAATCAGCAGGCATACAGTTCAAAAGTAAGGGGGGCAGTGCGGGCTAGAAAGAGACATAGGTGGTACCTAAAAATCTCAAGAATGGTTGAAATTTCCTAGAGAGAGTGTACTAGAATGGACTAGAAAAAGTTTGAGGATGGAACTCTGCACATCAAATTTATCAAGTTAGGAGAAGCAGAAGAAGCCAAAAGAGGAAGGAGGAACATCAGATGAGAATGCACTTAAAAAGCCATGGGAGGTGACAGTTTTATGGTTAAAAACCACTTCAGATTTTCAGAGGTTGTAAAGAGGTTAAATAAAGAATGAATGAATGTATCTATTAGACTTGACAATTAGGGGGTTATTGGTGATCTTAGAGGAGTGTCAGTGAAAAGACAGAAGTAGAAGAAAGCAAATTGCAAGACTCAAAAAAATGAATGGGGGAGAAAGTAGAGATGCAACATATGAGCAGAAATAGAGCTAAAGCTAAAGTAGCTTGTTGCCTGTATCAAGATCAAAATAACTACAGACATCTCTTATTCGATGGGGATTGGTTCCAGGACCCCTGGAGGTACCAAAAATCACAGTGCTGAAGACCCTTATATAAAAATGACACAGTGTTTGCATGTAACCCATGTACTTCCTCCTGTATACTCCTAAGTCATCTGTAGATTACTTATAATACCTAATACAGTGTCAATGCTATATTAGTAGTAGTTATGCTGTATTATTTAGGGAATAATGATAATAAAAAAGTCTATAAGTGTTTAGTTAGACACAAGGGTTTTTTTTTTTATTTAATATTTTTGATCCCCAGTTGGTTGAATCCACAAATGTAGAACAAATATAGAAGACCAACTGTACTTGATTGTTTATTTCTGTGTTAAAGAAACATTTGTTTTCCAGTTAATTTTGTAGAGATTAGTATGTGGTTATTTGCTGTGTTCCTAATAATTATTGTATATATTGAAATTATTACCAAAGTAAGAGTGGAACTTTTTAAGCATATTCTATAAAGGACATAGTGATAGACTGTGGTTGTACCAAGGGCTGGGAGTGTTGCTCAGTGGTAGAGCAGTTGCTGAACATGCATGAGGGCCCTGGGTTCCATCCCCAGCACTGCAGAAACATAATCTAACAGAAATAACATAACAGAAATCAGTCTGCTGGGCATAGTGGTATGTGCTTATAATCCCAGCTGCTTAGAAGTCTGAGATGGGAGGATCACAAGTTTAAGGCCAGCCTGGGCAAATAGACTCTGTAGAATCTCAAAGATATGAAGGATTCCAGAATATTTTTCATTTTATACTTGATTTCTTTCTTCCAAAAGGAGTTAGGGCCTGTAAGTCTTATTTAATGATGTAATATTACTACAGTAGTAATCATGTGCATGGTCAGATTTAATTTATGTAAGATTGTATTCATTGCAGGTACTGATGATGTTGTGGGTCCTGAAGGCATGGAAAAATTTTGTGAAGACATTGGGGTCGAACCAGAAAATGTAAGTCTAACTTACTGAGTTGTGTGACTCAGTCATTTTTATTACTTAAAATTTTTGTTCCTTTACAAATAAAACAAAAATACAGAAATAATGATAGGTTAGTTTTTTATGAGGTCACTTAAGAAAATGCAGTTTGATTTGTAAGTGGCATGGTGTAATGATGGTGATTTTTTTTTCCCCCTCTAGTTTAACTTCTTGTATCTAAAAGGTACAGTGATTAAGTAATTGGATATTTTAAAAATGTGTGGGCATGTGTACCTATAATGACAGAGCAACCGGGGAACCAAGTCACTGCATGCTGTGTACCTTGGTCCCCCTCAATAGTTTTTTCAGTCTAATGTAGAGTTAGTCTTAAACTTTGAATAATTATTCATAAAGGTTTTGAGTAGGTTGTAATTACCATGAATTTTTCACAGATCTTTTACTTCCAGTCGAGTTTAGCTCAGAAGGTGACTCTTTTTTTTAGTATTAATGCACTAGAATATTTTCTTTACAAAGATCAGTTATTTTATATGCTTAATTATTTTTGCCTAATTCTTAGCATCTTGTTATCGTTGAATTTTTTTTTGTTTCCACAAAATATCTTTTAACACTAAAATGAAAAATTGTGCTCATACATGTGCTCTAGTTCATAAACAATGCAGTTCAGTTTTACACACGCCCCTAGTTTAACAAATGTATCCGAAATAAATGTATTATCTAGAAAAGCCCTCAAGAGGTCATCCCTTCATTCAGACTTTACAAGAGGTATCGGTCCCATGCATATTTGTTGTGCTTTTAAAATTGGGAATGAGACTTGACTCTTTCTTTAGATTTTTTTTTGTACCTTTACCATTTTTGTGCCTCTGTTGTCCTCTGCCTCTCACCATCTTGCCTCAAATAACATTTAAATTTTCCGAAGTGCCTTTGGGATATCTTTTTACTTGTTCATGTGGATTTTTGTCTTGTATTTTAGTGGGTTCCAGTTCAGGTAACTTGATAAATTATTCACTTTGGCATAAAGGTTTGGGGATCACTGACTGGATCAATAGTATTTTCCCTGATCTAGTCCATGGACATAAAAAAAGACCATTTCACTAATTTTCAGAAGGAAATTTTCTGCTGGAAGCTGGGCTAAGCTTGATTATTTTCTAACAGTGTTATCAGGGAATGAGTTGGGCCTGGCTGGGGATCTAGGGGTCCTATCCAGAAAACAGAAATGGGCCTGTGATCAGAGGAACCCACAACAGGCCCAGGCCTGAAGTAAGATGAGATGGAGACCAGAGTCAGTTTGCAGGTATGTGTAGGATTATCTGAGCATTTAATCTCAGAGGCAAGAAAGCGTGCTTCAAGGGAGTAATAACTACTCAAAAAAGTTATTATTGCCATTGGGTTTTTTTTGGTTTTTTGGTAATTTGATTTGGAACTCTTTAGAATTCTGTTTCAGTAAGAAGAAAGCCTTGAAATGTAAATTCATGTTGACGATTAAAAGACCAAATTCAGAATATTGTTCCAAGTATATATTATTGTACTTTAGTTCCAAGATGACACCAATAGAAGTTAGATTATTTTATATCATCCCTAAGAAAGAAAAAGTGTGGCTAAATAAATTTTGATATGCTGTTAATTGTGGATACGTCCCAATTTCAGAGATGTTAACATTTGAAAAATGAGGTGACAGACGATGCCTTGTCTTCACTGAAGAGCAGGCACTTTAAAAATATTTAAAACCTTCACTTCGCCTGTCTTCATAGCTTATGAAATTTAAGCAGGCCTATAAAATTCTTATCTACTTTGATTTATGAAGCTAAGGGCAAAATCCTTTATTTAAGGACTTGGCTTTCTTGTCCGTGAGCTTGAGGAGGTCTGCTTGGTGAAAGGCGGTTTCCCTGTGTGAATGCCTGCCTTGGCTGGTTGGCCTTGCTTCATGCAGACTTGCTGTGTTTGCTTCTTCACCCTCACACTTTTTGTTTTTTAACTTAAGTTTTGAAATGAAATTTTTAATCTTTCTAATGAAGGGTTGAGTAGTGATAAAGCTCATGAACTTACATAGTATGTGTTAGGAAATGGGGGCTAGTTCACTTGAGTAAATTGATGTATTAGGAATCAGAATTCCAAGAAATGTGAGGGCTGAGGAGAAAATCCATTGCTGTGTGAATAATTTAAAGAACTCATAACCCCTTTTTTAGGGGAAATTCTTCTTAGTGCTGATTGGACTCTAAGTGACTTTTTAAAGAATCTTTTTAACAGTCATTACTATTATCTGCCTAATAATCTAGATTTTTTTAAGTCCAAAAAAACCCTAGTGACTTAAGAAAAATTGTAATGTAGTCATTTACTTGATGAAAGGTCCTAGAAATACAGTAGGTTCTTACTGATAAAATTTCCCAAGTGGAGAACCCTGGAGTCAACACTAGTTGAAGGCTTTTTCTTAATGCCTCAGGCATCAGACACAGCTGGGGATTTGCAGCTTGAGGACTAGCCTGTGGTCAACAGATAAAAGGGCAGATCTTTTGCATCTTCTGAATACTCCCTAACCTGGAGTTTTTAATGTACATGTGGGCTTTCAGAGGCTCATTAAGTCATCTAAAATTGATTTTCTAAACGACTTCTTGCCTCATTATTTCATGTTTTTATATCACTCTAATTCCTTTCACCACCACTGTCATCTGATTCAGTTGGACACATGGATGATGGTGTGGTGGTTTGGGGCTCTTCTTCCAGTTCCGGAAGTGACCCCTTAGGGTCTGTGTAAAGAAAGCACATTAAGAAATTGCAAGTATCTTGGTTCCTGGCTAACTGCATCTTAAAAACATGTATTTCTACCCAGTGCCTTTTTCTGCAACAACTGAGTGCCCACCAAGAATGTATACCTGGCCCCAGTCTAGGAATCGGGTGTATAAATGACTGTCCAGAGATGGCCATCCCAATAGAGTGGCAGGATGGTGCTAAGAAGGCCTTGTCCCTCTTGTTTACCTTTTTAGGAATGCTATGCTTGCTTAGTTGTTCCTTACCTTTCCTTGAGATGGATGAGAAGGAAGACTTCCTGCTCCTGCCCCAGTCATGGTTGGCTTCAACTCTGTTCCTGTACAGGGCTCTGGATATCTTGAAGCTGGGTGCTCTTTTGAAATATAGGCTTGTTTTTACACTGCAGGTGTTTGGTATAACTTACTTTTGTTCTCTGTGCCATCTTTCTCTTAAGTAGCTGCATGAGATATTGCTAAGCAGTGAGTAACATAAGCTGAGTTGTCACAGTTCTTGATATCTGCAGAATTTTGGAAAACTCAGTAGAAACAAGAATGGCACTGAGGGATTGGTTCCCAATGGGGAGTGATTGGGCCATCCCACTCATCCTGGGCTTATTCCAGGCACAATGCTCTTTCAGTGGAGTATCCGGCTACTTGAAGATGGTTTTCCCCAGTGTATATGGCCCAATTCACAGACTAATAAGTATGTGTGGTACAGTGTACATCTCCAAGCAGCCATCTACCTTTTAATTTTTTTTTAACAGTATTTTGGACCTTGCTATTTCACTTAATAAAGCTTGGAATTTATTCCATATTTGAACAGTTAGCTCTACCTCATTCATTTTAATGGTGTTACATTATTCCTTTGATTGGAATATATTTAATGAAGAAGTGTTTAACCAGCCCCTCATCAATCAACACTTGGCCGTTTCAACCTTTTGTCACTACAAACAGCGCTGTAGTAAGTATCATTAAATATGTATCTGTGTGTACCTGTGCAGGTATATCTGTGGAATACTGAGGAGCAGCTGGGTTTAATTTGGATAGATCCTGAGGAATTGCCCTCTGGTGAGGTTGAGCACTTTCTACTTGTATTGTAAGGCATCACGAGAGTACATGTTTCTCCTAGGCTCTTGTCACAAAATGTTTTATCAAGATTTTTAGATGTTTGCCAAACTAGAACTCAGTTTTGAAGTTATTTTGTTCAATTTCAATGACAAAACCATTGGGACTAGCAGCATTTGGCAGGATGCTGATGTACTTAATTGCTGAAATTTAATTTGTCTTTTGTTTTAATAGGTAGTTATGCTGGTCCTAGCTTGGAAATTGGATGCTCAAAACATGGGTTATTTTACTCTACAGGAATGGTTAAAAGGAATGACTTCTCTACAGTAAGTTCTGAGGGTGCCCTAGTGGGGACCCTGCCATCCCCAGGAGGTTGCCTCTTCCCTGGGACTTCAGGGGATAGTTGAGTGTATATAATGGCCCCGTTAAAAATGTAGAAAGAAACAGATTAAAAACAGCTTTAATATATCGTACTTAACCCAGAATATCCAAAATATTATCATTCCAACATTTATAAATCAATGAGATATTTTACATTATTTATTTAGAGTATAATGTCAAAATATATTCATGATATGTTTATGGTCCACCTGGTCGGTTTGTATTAGCCACATTCCAAACTCTCGGTAGTCACGTGTCTGCTGGCTACTGTATTGGATGGTGCATGTTTGGAGCTTAAAAAGAAAAGGCGTATTATATAAGCATGTCTCTGGTTTTTAGTTTAAGTTTAGTGAAGTATAACTTTCTGGGTAAAAATACTCATTTTAGTTCTAGGCAAAATTAGAACTTCACTACTCTAGTGATTAAAAAATAATATTTTTGTTTGTGTTACTTGGCCCAGAAAAAGAAGAAAAAAAAATCAATGGTTCTATGTATTCATCTGTGCTTATCGATGTGTGTACTTGTATGTGTGTGTGAAGGTTTTCATTCAAGAAACTAACTGTTCTGATATATTATGTCTTGAAGGATGCAATTGGGGTGAAGGCTGAACATTTCAGATGGTATTGAAGATCAAATGCTAATTTTTAACCTAGTAACTTTCACCTAAAATACTTGGAATAACTTTTCTTTTCACTTTAACTAGGAATAACAGACCTTGATTTTTACTTGAGTAAAGTTGGAATTGAAATGGCTTTATGATTTTATTTAAATAATGTTTGAGTTTGTCAGCTTTTTTTTTTTTTTTTTCCTTATAGTGCTGGGGATTGAACCCAGAGCCTTATACATTCAAGGCAAGCACTCTGCCAACTGAGCTATATCCCCAGCCCTGAGTTTGTCAGCTTTTAATATCGACATTCTCTTGTTAATGTTGGTAGTGCTTTACTTGCATTGTACTTGAGTAGTTCATGAGACCTTTTTACTGTTTTCCATTGAAACCTCAGGACTACTTTGTGAAAAAGACAGGTCAGGCTTCATCCAGAATTTTTTTTTTACAAATGAGGAAACTGAGCATAGAGAGGCTAGTGACATAAAGGTAACAGAGATGGGAAGAAAACCCAAGACTTTTTTTTTTTTTTTTGGTACTGGAGATTGAACTCCGGGGGGGTACTTGACCACTGAGCCACATCCCCAGCCCTGTTTTTTATTTAGAGACAGGGTCTCACTGAGTTGCTTAGCACCTTGCTATTGCTGAGACTGGCTTTGAACTTGTGATCCTCCTGCCTCAGCCTTCTGAGCCTCTGGGATTACAGGCATGTGCCACCACGCCCAGCTGAAAACCCAAGACTTCTGATTCTTAAGTCACATTCTTCCTCTTACAATACTGTCTGACGGCAGATGATTTTTAGGTAAAAGCCCAACAGTCCTTTAATAGATAGTAGTTCCTGTCAGCATGCTCTAGGATTGTAGGATTAAATTCTCTGAAATCTCTTTGTAATTATGTTTGTCACATTGGAGAAAACATCACGTTATGATTTGAAGCCTTAGGATTGTTTTCCTCACTGCCTTTCTGGCTAGAACATCCAGTGGCTGCTCTTTATTGCATGTCCTTGTGACGACGAACGCTTGGCCATATTAGGATTTTATTTTAAGCCTTCAGAGGCAGCACCATCAACATTTTTCAGGTCCATTTTCATTTGTTTTAAGAGGATCTGATATCCATTTTTTAATAGTTTTAAGCTCTTTTTTACCTTTGTCTTTACAAAAGAATATTATTGGGTGTCAGGACTTGCCTGTGTTTTAAGGGCCACATTTTTATTGGGCTTCTTTCACAAAAGAGACAGTTTCCTGGAAGAAGTCTGTGGCTCTATTCTGAAGGCATAAGACTCTCCCACAGGCTCTTTGTCAGGAACTCTTGTCATGATGTGTGATGCAGGTGGTAGTAGGTGGATTCTCACAAGTGGCTGCCACCTGGTCTTTTTAATTTAGCCTGATCCATTATATTTAGGCATACAGGAATCTGCTTTCTGTTTCTGATATGAAACTCTGAGACTGTTTCCTTATCAATGAGGTGGAGATAATTACTTAGAATGACCTTTAAGGTTCTTTGTAGTTTAAACAATTTCAAGAACCCCCCTCCAGCCTCCCTAGATTATTCACTTGCTCAGCAAATATTTGAAAGGCAGTGATATGCCAAGCAGATATTCTAGACCTGGGGAAACAACCTATGAACAAGACAAAGTCTGTTAAGGGCAGGGACATAGAACCAGTGTTCAGGTAAAAGACCCATAAGGAATAGGCTTGTTTTTCTTATGCTAATTAAATTAACTGTTTAATTATGCTAATTAAATCAGCCTGTATATTTAAGGTATGTGTATCTAAAACATAAGCAAACTCAGGTAATTTACACTAAATGGAAAGTAGTTCATCTTTTGAATCATCTGTTTTGTCTGCCATTTTAGATTTTCTGATTTTGCTCAAAGCTGGAATTAATGCATATATGATAAAACCTGTATTTATATACATTACTATATGTCTTAGATGATTTGGATTACTATAACACAGTATTTTCAAGGGGATGAGGATGTTAACTCAGTGGTAGAGCACTTGCTTAGCAACACAAAACAAATAACAACAAAAACCCAGAAAAAAAGTACCTTAGACTGGGTGACTTATAAACAACAGAATTTTATTTCTCCCAGATTTGGAGGCTAGAGAGCCTAGGTCAAGGCACCAGCATTCTGGTATCTGGTGAAGGGCCATGTTTTGGTTCATAGTTGGTGTCTTCTAGCTGCATCTTCACACAGTGGAGAGGTAGATGAGCTCCCTCAGGCCTCCCACTCACAAGGGCTCTTCCCTCATGACCCAGTCACCTCCCAGAGGCTCCACCTCTTAGTACCATCACCTTGGGGATAAAGATTTCCACATATTAATGGTGGGGGGAAGGGCAAAGATTCAGACCATAGTAGTACATTTGCTTCAAATGCTGAGTTTAAAAAGGAGGTTGTTACTGTACAGGGTGCATGATAGAAATAGAAAGGGCATGTATTTTGGAACTGGAGCTTAAGTCAATTTTGTCACTTCTTGGGTGTTTCTGCTAACATTTCCAAATTGGGAGGGGAAAGTGACAACATGTGGCTTACACCTGGGTGCTCAAAACTGAGTCTCCTTGATGCTATCTGCAAGAATTGCCTGCTGCTCCCCAACACTACCCCTGCCCCCAGGCCTGTCGGTGTGGAACAGGTGGTGCTAAGAGAGGATGAGGAAGTAACAGCACCTGGCTGGCGGGCACATCCATTCTGCTTGGCCCAAGAAGGCACAACTCTGGTTTGGACTGACCGTTTTATTTACCGCTGTGTCCCAGCATGCAGGTTTACCACTATGAATTAAGCTGCTGTGGAGGGTGGGGTTTAAATTTAAGGAAGAGTGGGAGAAGTGTAGCCGACTTGGGGTAAAACTGATGGTGGGCTGGAGAAGTATATTTGGGCTAAGTCAAGGGGTGGGAGGCCTTTTCCTGGGTAATAGGGGAGACCACTTTTGATTTTATAACCTTTGAGGGTCATTGTGCTGATGTGTCATTTCTGAACCTGTTACAGCAGCAACATTCATGGAAGAAATGACCCCATATGTGTGTATGTTTTGTTATGGGAAATGATACTCCTTCAAAGTGTGGCACAGTCATTCTGACTTTTGTGACTGTTATTCTGTAGGGTACACTGAAGCGCACAGGGAATAAAACTGGGGTTGAAGAGATAGCTATTTTCCAAAGGTCAGGTCTAGGGCTTTTGAACTTCACCGTCATTTCTTCATCGGCTGTTAGTTGGAATAAAGTCCATTGAAGGTGTCCTTGTTGCATGGCCACTAGATGGCAGCCTCTAGTTCTGGACAGTTGACTCAGCAGCCTTTTCTCCATCGTGGGGGGTGAATCCAGAGGCTCTCTTAAGACATGGACAAGGCCCACTAAGAGCAGATTAAACTCTTTATTGGCAGTGTGCACTCTAACGCCATGTAACCACCCTTACTGGGTACTGAAGTGGAACCCTGTGCATTTTATGTTTAAAACATGAAATCTCATTTCCTGCACTCTGTAGTATCTTTTCAAGCACAGGGACATCTCTTCCCAGGATTGGGGTTTGGTCCCAGACTTAGCTGCAGAACTAACTTCATGATTTACCTTGCAGCAGTGCCCCAAAACCTGCGGCTATTTTATTTTCTTTTTGCCACGTAGTAGTTACCTCCATGAGAGGTCCCTGCTCTTCAACTGATGAAAACAAGCAGCTGCACTTCTTGCTCATTGCACAGGACCAAACTAAACTGTCAGCCCAGTGGCCTGTGGCCTATGGCTCTGGTCCTTGACCTTTCTAGTGAAGAGCAGGGGCTTGGTGTTGCCTAGCTTCCTTCCTCTTTGACCTTCCTTCATTATTAGTAATAAATATTATAATTTATATAATAACATTGAGTATCCACTGCTAAGTAATCCCTGCTACTGCTCCACCTCCAAGACTTTCTCCTGCTTACTGCTTTCTTGTGTGTTTTTCTAGTCCCTTTTGGCCCTCATTTGGATTCTTGCACCAGGTCTTTCACTAGGCTTTTAGTATCTCTGATTTTTCTTTCCCAAATCCTCTTCCACAAGGGTCTAGAGTGAGCCCCTCAGGATTGCAAACCTGATCTCCCGTGATTGGAGGTAGCCTCCATGGTTTCTAGGATTTATAAAAAAGCCTTCACGTTGGATCACAGAAGCTCTTTATAGTCTTACCCCCTACCTCCCTTGCAGTTTCTTGTTGTACTGCTTTCCCTCCTATTCTTTCCACTCCGGCCACAGTGGTTTTCCTTGAGATCTGTTCTGCTGCTGGGCCTTTGCACATGCTTTTCCTAATATCTAGAGAGCCCTTCCCACCTCCCCCCAAACACCTAGGACCTGTGTGTGTGTTTTACCTCTCAGCTTATATGTCAATCCCTTGAAGAAACCTTTCCTGATAACTTCTAAAATACTCTAATTTTAATGTTTGTTTTCCAACATCAAAAGGAAATAAAGGACATTCTAAATTATTCTGTTCCATTGAAATTAAATATTTAATTTTGGGCCTTTAGACAGTTAATCCTCTTTTGGCAGGGAGAGGTCCCAGGGATAGAACTCGGGGGCACTTGACCACTGAGCCACATCCCCAGCCCTATTTTGTATTTTATTTAGAGACAGGTTCTTGCTGAGTTGCTTAGCATCTCAATTTTTGCTGAGGCTGCCTTAGCCTCCTGATCCGCTGGGATTACAGGTGTGTGCCACCTCGCCTGGCAGTTTATCCTGTTGATATAGTAATCGTGAGGACTTGGTAGTTAGCTACAAAAAAAGCTTTGACAAATTTATTGCTAAAAATCAAATGTGCTCTATTATTAACCATATTTTAGTGCATAAGGTAGGCAAAATACTTATTTTGATAATACTTCCTAAATGTATTATCTACTTTTAAAAGTAGATAAAAATTCTACAGAAAAACACTTGCAACTATATGCAGTATTGAAAAGCTTTAATGTTGCTAGTGAAAATGGTGATTCTTGGTTCTCATTTTTAAGGGCTGCATATTGCAAATAGTTAATTTGTAAAAATAACCAATTAGTCTCCCTACTTATGAAAAGTGGACACCAAGCCCGGCGCAGTGGCGCACACCTATAATCCCAGCAGTTCGTGAGGCTGAGGCAGGAGTTCCAAGCCACTTCAGCAAAAATCGAGGTGGTCAGCCACTCAGACCCTGTCTCTAAATAAAATACAAAATAGGGCTGGGGATGTGGCTCAGTGGTCGAGTGCCCCTGAGTTCAATCCCCCCACCCCCCCCCCCCAAAAAAAAAAAAAGTAGACACTGTTACATACTGGTAAAAATAGGTTATGGTCACCAGGGTTTCCTGGAGAATGGCTGATTTTAAGTCTGGGGCAGGCAAAGAACAAGATAAGCTGGAACATCTTGTTCCACAAAGCAAAGAAGTGCTCAGAGAGTGGTTGTGACATGTTGGGGGAGCACTGGAGCCAGTTTTAAGGGGCCACTGCCCAAATGGGGACAGTTTATACATCAACAAAGAAAAAAAGTGAGGGGGGGGGACAGATCATTACATAGTGAATTAAAAGGAAAACAATTTAAATGTAGAAAATAGGAACGGTGGGGCATAGGGCTCTTTATAGAATTGTAGCCAATAAAGGTAGAAGGATGATAGAAAGCCACCATCTTGTATCTAAGGATGTACTAATTGATTGAAGCAGGTACCAGCAGTGAATGCTAAAACCACGTGTATTGTAAATAGAGGAGTAAGTCTCCCTCATGGGGTCTTTAAGGATCATTCCAACACTGCTTCAGAAACTACTGGGAGAGGCATGATTCATTATACCTCCCGATCTGGAGAGGAGATAGGCAGGCCATAGGGGAGGTGCTCTCAGGGAATGGGCTTGGATCCATGCGCAAGTGCCTTCATTGGGGGAGAAGGCAAAACACAAGCAGAAAGGAAGAGGGAACTTCATTGGTGCATTTCAATATCACTAGGTCAGTTGAGGAGACGAGGAAGGGGAATTAGCGGCAGGGACCATCTGTGTTACATTATGCACCTGGTCTCCTGGGCAGACTATTAACAGTCTTTTTGTGGGCATGTCGGGGCATCAAGAAAATATGAAGTTTAAAAAATTTACACATTGAGCAAAATGTTGAGGAACAAGACAATTTAGTCTCAAGGTGTCAACCCACAGATACTTAACACTCCAAAGGGAGACAAGTACCTTTAAATGGAGAACCCGGTAGACATCACCTTAACCATCATCTTAATTTCAGCAGTAATGAGACAGGCGACATGATGAGCCTCCCCCTGGGGTATCCTGGAAGGACACAATGCGACATGGAGTGGTCCTGTCAAGTGTTGAGCCTACACAGAATTGTGGAGAAATTACCTGACAAATTGATGTGCTATAAAAATAACTGATCTGTCTCTTAAAAAATGATGACAGTCACTGTAAAGGAAGTTTGGAGAACAATTGGGAAATGTGCATGTGGACTGTATGTTAGCTGAGAAAGTGAAAGTGATAGACTGAAGAGGGTTGGCACTATCCAAGTGTTTAGTGGGGCAGTGGCATTATGTTTGCAGCTTCCACACGTATAGAAAATAGTGCAGAGGAAAACATAAATGTGCCAGAAGCAGGGGTGTGGTAAGGAGGTGCTTATTTACTATTCTATCAACTTGTCTATAAATATGAAATTTATTTTAAAAAAATCATTTTTGGATATGTTCCAACTTTAGGGTTTTTTTTTTTTTTCCTTCCTTTGGGTGTTGTGTTTTATGTTGTCCCAGTTTCAAAACAAAGATTGTAATTTGCTGTTTTCTTTTTTCCCTAGATGTGATACAACAGAAAAACTCAGAAATACTTTGGATTATTTACGATCATTATTAAATGATTCCACAAACTTTAAGCTTATTTACAGATACGCATTTGACTTTGCACGGGTGAGTTCTCTGGAGCCTATCCAGATGTTTCCCTCCCCCGCCCCCCCACTTTTTATTGCCTTTTGAGGTTTGTTTTTACATACCACAGCAAAGATCATGAAAAAGTTACTCCCAGGATGCTAGTTAGTATTTCTTTATACATGTACAATTTAAAAAAAAATAATTGATCTGGGTAAAGATTTTGGTATATAAGCAAAAAGCTATAGTGGCAGACCTTGACCTTTACTAGCTCTTGTGATAAAAGTAACATACATGGGCATGTGATAAACTGTTTTAAATGTTTCTTAGGTAAACTTGAAAAAGCTCTTCTCATAGAATGATAAACCTTTGCCCCTCACGGTACTAGATAGAATCAGCTAACCACATCTAATCTAGTTTCACTTGGTGCTATCATATTATTTAGAAATTGTGTGAATTTCAAACAGCTTATTTCCTGTTTATTACATAGTGAGTCAAGTCCAAGTATGTGATAGCAGTGGTTCTTTGGTGTGAAGTAAGGCTTATGATTTGGCCTGGTCACCATAGGTAGTAAATCCTCAGGCACCAGTTGGCATTGTCATTCAGACACAAGCCACAGCCCTTACAATTAGAATTTTTTCTATAGTGATGTTTTCTATAGTCTGTGTGTTTAGTGGATTTGAGTGACTAGACTTTCTTGATTGATTGCATTCTTCTTCTTCTTCTTTTTTAATGCAGAGAACTTGGTGATGAGTTTCTTCAGCATCATCATTTTTTTTTTTCCACTTTTTACTCTTTCTGGCTCTGCCAGTTTAGTACCAAAGGTTTAATCCATGGTGAATGCTGATGCTTCTGTAGTAACACATTAGTAGCTCTCTGTGGTGCCCTCGGTGCATTTTTCCTTTATTGCTACCTTCTAATAAAATCACAACATGCATGGAAATACATTGGTGCTAGAAATAAGGTGAAATTCAGACGTAGTGTTTGACTAAATGGTACCTGATTGTATATAGAAGTTAGTTGCTGTATGTTTTTAGAATAGATACTAGTTTCTAGGATTAAATAGTTCATTACAAGAAGATTGTTTTTCCTCTCCTTCCATAGTCAGCTGTTGTTTATGGTGTGGGTAGAAGTCCGTTTAGAAGCATCATATTTCCTACACCTAAGTCAGCTGTTTTCTGAATACTTTGTTTGGAGGGTGGGTCAAAATTCTCCCAGATAGCTGCTATGCTTTAAGATTCACGTTGTTTTACTCTTTTCTGACTTCACCCCATGGTGGCTCATCTTACAGGAGCTCTTGGCCTTCTCTTTCTTGATGCCACTGCAGCCTCCCCTGTTGAGGCCCTCGTTACTCCTAACCCGCACTCTTATTTCTCCTGTTTCCATGTTCTTTCACTTTTCATCCAGCATTCACATCAGTAGGGTGTCAATACTCTTCCTTCACTCATCCTGTTCCCCAGAGACTTCAATAACTTCCCATTGCCTTTATGATAGCAAAGTGCTTCCTGGTATTTACAGTCCAGTTAGCCTCATAGCATCTCTCAGGAACAGCCAGAGATGGTTTCATGCACTTCACAAGGGAGGGAAGTGGGCCTCAGAAAAGTGGAAGAATTTGATGCTGGTCACCTTGTTGGTAGACAGTAGATCCACAACTTAAACCAAGGTCTTTTGACTTCAGGTCTAGTTTGTGGCTTCTTCCTGGGCCTCCCAGTCGAGTCTCAAGCTGCTTCACCTCACATTGCCTGTGTCATGGGGAAATTGTATTAGAGGCTGCTCACTGAGCCTGCCACCTGGCCTCTCACCCTTTTTGCTTTCTGCCATTGCTTATCCAGGGTCCTTGCCTAGAGCCCTGTTTGCGCTGGCATGACTTGCTCTATCTCCAGTCTGTCTGGGTCCCAGCCACATGCTTTTGCTCCTAGGCAGCCTCCTAGATCTTCCTGTCTTGGAAGGCTCTGCTGTCTTCCCTTATGTTACCCTAATATCTCCTCTGCGTGGCTTTGGAGTTTGGTGCAGGCCTTCATTTTTCCTGATTGGTTGAGAAACTGTGCGTTTTCTTCTTTCATTTACCAACAACAGCCAGCACAGTTCTTTGCTTTTAAAGAGGATTTCATAAAAAATTTGTGAATTAAGCCCTTTTATGTAATGCTGAAAACAGCCACCCATATTGAATCTTTGTTTAATTACCATAGTGTTGAGAGCCACAGCCGAAGGGGCCCCAGCAAACTTGCAGCTGCCAGCAAACTTCCAGCTGCCAGCTGATGATTGGCTCACAGCGGCCCCAGCAAACTTCTAGCTGCCAACTGATTGGCTCCTCTGCGGTGATGCTCATTGGCAGCTGGAAGTTTGCTGGGGCCCCTTCAGCTGTGGCTCTCAACACCATAGCACTTCAATTCAGCTTCAGATGTTCTAAGATTAATTTGTTAATGAATCTTTTTTTTTTTTTTGCTTTGTTTAGTTGTATCCCACAGTTTTTTAGATGTTGAATTTTCATTTGCATTCAGTTAGAAATATTTTCCATTTTACCTTGTGATTTATTTCCTGACCCAATGGGTATTTAGAAGTGTGTTGCTTATTTTCCTAGTATTTAGGATTTTTTAGATAATCTTTCCATTGTGGATATCTAATTTAATTCAATGGTGGTCAAAGAACATGTACCCTTTGGGATTTCAATCTATTTAATTTATGATCCAGAATATGGTCTGCTGTGATGTATGTTTGATATGTACTTGAAAAGAATATTTTGCTGTTGTTAAGTGGAGTGCTCTATAAGTGACTATTAGGTCAGGTTGGTTGATATGTTGTTCAGGTCTTCTGTCCTTGTGATTTCTGTCTACTGGTTCTTTTCAGTAACTAAGAAAGGAATGTTGAATTTCCCAATTATAATTTCTAATGATTTCTTCTGCATTTCTTTTGTTAGTTTGTTTCTTCGGGTATTTTGAAGCTTAGATGTTAGGCTTCAGTTTACTTAGTATTGTTCCCTGTGGATGAAATGACCATTTAGCATTGTGAAGGATCTCTCTTTATCTCTTGTAGTATTCCTTGTTCTGAAGTCTGCTTTGTCAAATACACCCCCTCCAGCTTTCTTTTCATTATGTTTGCATGATTCATCTTTTTTCCTTCCTTTTAACTTACTGGTTTCTCTATATTTAAGGTGGATTTTTTTTCTTTTTTAATAAATGGCATGTAGTTGGGTCTTACAAATATCTTTCTTAATTGAAATATGCAAATCATGTACACTTAATGTAATGATTAGGATGGTTAAGTTTCTGTTTCTCATCTTGCTATGTTCCCTCTATCCATCTGTTTTTGTTTTTTCATTCCTATTTATGTGTTTTGGGGGATGAAAGGTATTTAGTTTCATTGATTCCACTTTATTTCCCCTATTGCCTTATTAGGTGTATCTCCATTTTATTATTTTGGTGGTTACTCTAGGCTTTGCAGTATTCATCTTTAAAGTTTTACCATCTATCTTCAAAGAATATTTATTATACCTCTTCATGTAAGAACACGAGAACATGATAATTTGCCCTCCCATACTTAAAGCTTCTTTAACACATTTTACTGCTATAAATCTCACAAGATGTTATCTTTTTTGAATTAAATAGTCAAACATGTCTGTTACAGGTACTCAACTTGATGCCATTTCTATGCTCTTTATTCCTTTTGTATAGATCTGGATTCTATCTGGTATCATTTTCCTTTTGCCTAAAATAACATTTCTCACAGTGCAGATCTACCGGTGATGAATTTTCTAAGCTTTTATTTTTGCTTTCAATTTAGTCTGATACTTCTCAGAGAAGTATTCTAGGTTGACATTTTATTATTTCAGTGATATTTCCTCATTGTCTTCTGTAATATTGTATACTAGTTTCTCATGATAAGCCTATTGTTCTTATCTTTGTTCCTTTGAACATAATGTCTTTTTTGTTTGTTTTCTGACTGCATTTATTCACTGCTTTTCAGCACGTAGTTGTGATATTCCAGGCATTGTTATTTTCCTTATGCTTATTTAAGTTGGGATTTGTTGAACTCTTTGATCTGTGAGTTTTTAAATTTATATTAAGTTGAGAAATCTTTCAGCTGTTATTTCTTCAACAGTTTTTTTTTGTTGTTGTTGTTCTTCTTGAACAACAACAAAAAATATTTTTGTTAGATTGCTTGATACTGTTTCACAAGGCACTGATACTCTGTTCACTTTTTATTGTTTTCTCTTTGTTCATTTTGGTTAGTTTTTACTACTGTGTCTTCCAGGATTAATTTTTTTATTTTGCAGTATCTAATTTCCTATTTATCCCAGACAGTGTATTTTTCATTTTAGATACTATGCTTTTCATCTCCAGAGGTTCTATTTGGGTCTTTTTATATCTTCCATTTCTCACTTCATCATGATGTTTCCTTGTACCTCCCTGAATATCTAGAGTATGTTCATTAGGGAGTGTTTAACAGCCTTGCCTTTTGGTTTCATAATCTGTCATTCCTGGGTCTCTTTCGGTTGGTTGATTTTTCTTTTCATTATGAGTCCTACTGTTCGATTTCTTTGCTTTTCTAGTTTTCTTAGGTATTATGGATTTTACATTGCTGGTTACTAGATTTTAATAGTCCTTTAAACAGTGTTGAATTTCTTTTTTTCCCCCCCTGGTGCATAGTTAACTTACTTGGAATTAATTGGATCTTTTGAAAGGGCTGAGCCAGAGCAGCTTTTATTCTGTATGTGTGCCCTGAATATCCTGAGATTCTTCCATGCTGGCTAGTGGAAATACAAACTATCTCCCACCCCCTGTAAGCCCTGGAAGTGCCTGCCTCGTTGTTTGTGGTGTATCCTTCTCCAGCGTCAGGTTCCTTCCCCTTGTGTGTGTGCAGATGAGTCCTCAGCCCAAGACTGAAGGACACTGCTCTGGAAACCTCCAGATCTCTCTGATGCCTCCCATCTCACTGATATTTTTCCTCACACAGTATAGTTCCCTTTGCCTCCCTGACCTCCAACCTCTGTTTTCTCCAACTCAGCAAGACCGCTGGGCTCAGTTTGGGTTTCCCTTTTCCTT